CTACCACAAGCAGGCAAAAAAGAGCACTATTCTTGAAGTGGAAGACATTTCTAAAAATCTGTCATGTCATACTGTCTAGTACAGAATAATATTTATTGCAGTACTAAGGTTTTGTTGTTTGTTTGATTTTTGTTCTAAAAATACTGTTTCTTATCACACCTGACAGTATGCAGGATAATATTTAAAAAATAAAATTTTAACATCTGACACGAAAACAAATGTGATGATGCTATGAAGGCAGCAACTTGGCTGTTAAGATTGACTAGGAAAGTGGTCACTTTGAGATTGGCAAGTTTGAGTATTCTTAAACTTTTCTCTTCCTCACAGAAGAATAACAATAATAATATGGTAGACTTTCTTAAGGCGGCAAAGAAAGGCTCACATTATGAATTTACAAATTTGTGCTGGAGAATCTATTAATGAGTAATACTTAACATAAGTTTATGACAACACTTTTCATGGTATGATAAAATACTTGACATAATTCATTCACAAATTTTAAACACAAAGAAGCTACTTACTCTATGCTTTCTTAATAGTTCAAGCAATTCATAGGAAAACAGGACTATAGTGAAGTGATAAGAATAATATAATAATAATACCTACAATACCTACATAATAAACAAGCAACATGTACAATACATACACAGTATTTTGATCACAATAGTTGAGTACCCCTTGACAGAGGTATTTTAAATGCAATAGAGAGCCACCACATACACTTCTAAATGCAAGTATAAACCACTTCTGGATAGGCAGTTAGATATGCTCGCTCAGAGCTGAACCGCCCTCTCCTGGCCCGCCACAGCAGACCCAGGGGCCCTGTCCTGCCCAGACAGGACCGAGCGCAGTGCTCGGTCCTGCCCGGACAGGACAGACCACATGTCTCAAAGCGGCACCGCCTTATCCTGCGAGGGCGGCACCGCATCGCCTCCGTTGTTGGCCAGCAGCTGTCTGGTGCTGCTGCTGCTGCTGTAGCTGTCGTTACTGCTGCGATTGCTAAAGTGCGAGGCAGAGGAGAGGGGTGTGCCAGGGAGAGAGCCTATCCCTGCCAAGTGACCTTCCCGAGACCCAATCCACCGCCCAGGAGTGCTCTCCACTGAAGATGGTACAGTGTTGCAGGAGATTCCAGACAAACCTCGTTCCTGAGTGAATAATTCTGATTAGAAAATGATGGACGAGTAGTATTGTGGCTGAAACTTATTCCCACAAGACATACCTTTTCATTGTTATGTAGGGGGCTAAGAATGGTGGTGGCTGGGTCCTCAGGGGTGTAGTAGTCAGAGTCATCTCCCCCAACAACGAGACCACTACAGTCTCCCTCAGTTGTTGGTCCATTTCTGATGCTATTGCTCCGACCTGCAGCACAGTGATTTCATCATCAGAATGATACCAAACCCAACACAAAGATGCTTAGGTCAGACTGACAAACAATCCTACATTGAGCTGCTGGTACAGGAGATGGTGCAGCAAATGCAGCTGCATATCCATCAACCTTGATATCTAGGTCATCAGAGCCATCCTCCACCTCCTCAATGTCCACTGTAGCGGAGACACACACGGCTGGTGAGTCCTGAGGTGAAGGATCTGTGCTGGTGGCTGCATCCAACAAAGGGGACAGCTTTTCTGCCTCACTGTCTTCATCTTGGCACTATAAAATCAGATTTAAACAATAGGCGTTATCAATAAAATAATCATTCAATTAGCAATGCAATTAATGACATGTTGATAAAAGGTAATACAAATTAATCCTACCTCATCAGTGTCCATGGCAGCTACTGCTGCAGCTGCAGCTTTTTCATTGATATGTCTTATTGTATCTCTTGGCCGCAGAGCACTCTTATCTCTAACCCCTGTACGGGCACTGTGACGACCAGATCTTGGTGATTTACCCTGTTCCTTTATGCTTTCCATTTCTCGCGCCAGAAGCACCGACATGCGGAACTGAGTTTGATATTAGTTTTACAGAAACTGGCATTAATAAAAAAAATTATGGCAATCCTTACCTCTGGAGTTGGACACGATCTAGAATCAGACACTGATCGGCTAGTTCCTTTGGCTCCTTCGCAATTATCATCCAATGTGTTATGAAGTTTATTTGATTTTGGTGTGTGTTCCAAGTTTGTTCTGAAAGTAATCACCCGACATTGTTAGAGGTGATAATACTCTCCAAAACTAAAAACCTATAAGGTTAAGTTTTACTCACCTGTTCAGAATTTCAGCTGCCTGAGTTGGGCCATCTAGATCAGGAAGATCCGGTAATGAAAGATCTTGAGATGTAACCGCAGGTATTGTTCTTGTGGTGTAAGGGCCATTTAAAGCTTCTATTAATGACACTGCTTCATAACCAGGTGGAATGTTGTCTAAGTTTCCCTGAAAGAAATTCATTATATAAGACCAGGAAACTGATAAATCTAGATTCCATTTTAAAAGACAACTTGTAGTCAGATTCTTACCTCTGCCGGTACTGACTGTAATAGACCATTCGCAGACGCCTTCTGCAAGGCTTTAATTTGAAGTAAGGCCCTAAAAGGAGCTCGGCATATGGGACAGTTATTAGCTTGGTAACGGAGGGAATCAGCACAATTGTTGCAAAGACACAGATGACGGCAGGGTAGAATCAAAGTATCTCGTACATCACTCATACATATCACACATTCTGAGCCATTGTCCTCTGTATCATCATCAGCAGTTGACTGTAAAACAGCAACCACATCAAAAATTTTAAAATATTAGCACCATAACAATAAAAAATTAACTTGACATAAATCAATGAACGTAGGTTACCTTGTTATTATCGTTGTTTTTATTTTCTATGCCATAGATTTCTTGTAACAGGTAGCAAAGACCATCAACATAAAGTTTTTGTTTGAGAGCTTTCAAGACATATGATCCATCTGAGTGACGATCTATCACAGCTATTGTAGTATGAGACTGCTTAGGCTCTAAAAATATAAAGAACCAAGATAAAAATCATATTACAGATATTTTTGCATTAATACTTCTTGTGTTACAAACAGAAAGAAAACTATGCACAGTACACACCTTCAATCCCTTCCTCAACAACACAGTGAATTGCAATTGGTATGATTTCTCTCTCTGTGTTGTAGATCAATTCACCATCATTGTACGGACTTGGATCAAAAACGTGAGACACTTGAGAAAATTGTTGATTGGCACCTCTTTTGTAATGATAGGTTTCTGAGTTCATTAATGGATCTCTTGGTGTATAACTACAAATTAATAAGGAACAAAAGGTTACTCTGTAAATAATTAAACATTTTTAAAATAATTACTGTATACAAAATACTTACACAATCCCATCAGCAGTGACTTCTTCACTGCAAAAGTAGTATATAGTGATACCACACTTGGCATCACAGTCAAACGTGAATTCAATATTGAATTGAGTTGACTTGGGAGCAACATCCCCATCAGTTTCTTCAACTTTGCCAACAGCATCAGGACACCGAACAAATCTTAAAGATTCTTTCCTTATATTTATCAGACTTTTGAGTGTCTTGGTTGGCTCATTGCCTTGAGGAGGGGGATATGGGAACTGTGAAATAAAAAATAGAAATAAAAAGGCTGAGTGTCAGTGTATCAAACATGTTTGATACATATGGGTGAGACAATTAGGCTGCATTTCAAGGGCTGAGTGGTATTTAAGTAGTTTAGGAGCTGAAGGTGGAGACTAACTTACACCAAACCAGGCGTGTAGCCAGGAGGAGGTCATTTTGGTCATGAAAATTAAGAAGTCTACTAAGGAAATTGTTCAAATTAACTCACCGCAGTTGGTCGGCTTCCCAGGAAATTCAGATCTGGATTTTCTCCAAACAGATATGCTTCTGGTTGTGGCGTATCGAATCGTTCACCCCCCATTATGAAATGACTTCCAAAGTAGTTCCCTTAAAAATAAATTAAAAAGTTAGTCATACTGCACAAAATAAGTTATAACTCTCTAACATCATTGCCATTTTAATAGACCATGTAAGCCATCCCGAGTACAGTTCAGATTTAAACATTGAGTATAATTGTCACACCTGTCACGACATTAGACAAGAGGTTCTAAATTCCACAGCACCATATCAAAAAAAGTCAAACCAGGAAGTAACATAAATAAATAAGGCATGAGATCAGGTGAGCTGGGTAAGTATAGCTCACAGACATTACAACCAACTACAAGGGGACGACAAAGATTCCGCGGAGAGTGAAAATTCACTGGGCAATAAATAAAGGAAAATACATATTCCTGATCATCATTGAAGTAAAAGCTCCAGTTCTTAGAAGCAGGTTAACCTACCGGATCTAGGAGGATATTTGTATGCGTGGTTCGAAGCAATATCCACTTCCTCCACCCCCGCGCTCGGTCTGCTCGACAGCGCCCCCATCGTCAATCAATTAAAATTATTTTCTTGAGCCAAACAACAAGCGCAGGCGTCCAGGAGGGGCTTTAAATGTTGACTTATTTTGCAGCAGAACACAACACCGAACACCAAAAGAATCCACTCCCGAGTTTCACATTGTCTGTGTTTTGTTTTTGGTTTGATTGTGAAAGTCGCCACAGGTAGCCCATGGCGCTGCAGTCGCGTAAACAAACGATGGAAGAGGCGCGAGTACACAGCACCTTTAAAAGAAATGTGTTAAAAAGTAGCTGCCGATCTAAACTACAGAAGAAAATCTGAAACTTTGTCGGAAGAAAATGCGTTAGACGATCTAACACATATATACTCTTCTTTCTTCGTTGATTCTCTTCCTAGGTCATGAGACCTCTTTTGCTAGTTCTGAAATAAAGTTAGTGAACAAGGAATGTCATGACATGACATCGGCGGATATAAACAAATTAAGCAACAGGTGTTTCTACATATGTTCGAGGTGAAATTTTAATTTATCGAGTATCAATTGTTTTTTCACTAGTTTTTAAACCATTACTTTACTCCCATTCAATAAAGGTGAAATCCGTCGGCAGTGCCTTAGAGTTAAAATGACTGCCTAACCTCTTTAAATTTATAGTTTGTCTATTTCCCCCATAGTTGTAATCATATGTATATATTTATGTCACAGTGTAACCATGGTCAATTTCTCTTTCTATCAGATTTCACTTATAATTTTATAATGAATGAAGAGGCACCAACATCACATAATGTTTGCTATTCGTGGTGTTATTCGGAAACTTGGAATACGTCGGCTTTCTTTAGGTCTAGTCCTTGGCCTGGTCTCTCTGGTGTTCTTCCAGACTTGTATTCATCCGAATGAGAGAGACATTCTTGAACTTCACAAATGCCCGGCATGCTATGGAGTTTCTCTTTGTAGTGAAATTCTCCACGGACCCTCAGAGGTAAATCACAAGCATATTTTACCGAAATCATTTACATTTATATCATTCTCATTTATCAGTTCATCATATTTTTCTCTTCTTCTATCAGATATCAATTTCCTTTGATTTTTTGGGCCGTCTTGGTGTACTAGCAAATATAATAGCCACAAAAAATGTTTTTTCTGGCCTACTGAAAGACAAAAAGGTTATAATTAAAAGACTTGGACATAGGTCAGAGTTGCAGCACTTAGACAGTAAAATTTGTCTTGCCATGGGATACCAGAAAAGCTGTGGACCTAAAGTAAGTTTTTTTGTTAACAATTATTTCTGGGGGGAAATTTTTTTCCTTACCTCTGATTGTGTATCGGTCTCTGAAACTAACAATGTAATTTCTTTCTGTAGTTAAAAGAAGTTGTTTTGAAAGTACCAAGTATTCGTGATTCTATTGAAAGACTTCTAAATGAGTCTAAGGACTTCAATGAATTTCGCTTAAGGCTTTGTCCCTCCATGGAGCATGTAGACAATCTTTTCAGCTCTACTTTGCCCAAAATTAATGGCTCTCATCATGGGAGATTAGTGAATGATGGAGCAACTGCTCATATTTGGACTCTTCTCCTCATCAACCCTGAACCGCTTTTATTACAAGTAATGCTTCTTCTAAATTTTGGAAAATATTATAAATTTGTATTTAAGGTTGGATATAACAGATGATATTTTTTTAAAAATCTAGATTATGAGAGCAGAAGATGGTTGGCCTGTTCCTCACTACTTGGGTGCTTGTGGACGCATTGCAGTTACATTACATGCTGGAGAACCCTTAACAGATTTTCTTTCTAGATCTTGGCCTGAGCGAGCTGGGTGAGTTCCGTGGTTTTTTATCATAAATATATTCATGTGCATAGGAATTTTCTATGAATCAGAAACCTAATTTTTTCTCCAGGTTATCACTACAACTTCTCCTAGCAGCTGATCGCTTTACATTTTCCCATCCTCAATTTGCATTTTATTTACTTGATATTTCATCAGATAATATTGTTGTAAATGAAAAGGGAAAGTTATCTTTTGTAGATCTGGAGCATCTGGTGGTTGTTGACCGTCACCCAACTTGTGAGCAAATAACGATGATTTCATTCATATTTCTTTATAAAATAGTTCCTGGGAAAGGGCACTAACAGGACCAATGTAAATTCTATGTTTTTACTCCCAGATATTCCTGATGCTTGGAATGAGTCTCATATTAGTGAGGTGTATGATGACTGTCCAGGTTGCAATACCTTTTCTTCTGATAGCTTGTGTCAACATCACATAAGTGACCACAACCATCATGTGATCTGTGAGGTATGAAACTTAGACAAACTACTCCTTTAGCATACATACTTGCCTAAGGGTTGGTTATATTTTAGCACCAAATAATTTCCTTTGGAATGAATCAATTAATCAGCTGGTCGTTATTCACTGTAGCAACTTCTTGGGCCTGGAATGGGAAGTAGTGGAAACTCACTACCTGGTGGTCTCTTGCACTCCATACCTCTTGATATCCAAAAACAGTATCCTCAATTGGAGGTGTTCCTAAATGAGTGTTCATCAGGCAAAGGAAAAGATCACATCCACAGTGCCCGACGCTTGCGTGATTTATTGAACATTGCTTCAAAGGAAAATCCTCTGTAAGTATTCCCTGAAGTAATTTTTATCTTGATTTATTTATTTTGTAGTTCCTGTAGAAAAATAATTTTTGACCCCTTCTTTATAGGTTTGGAGATCAAACTTTGCTGCAGACATGGAAGTATTTCTAGATTTTGTCTGAAGTAAATTCATAAATGTAATGAGAATATTTCTTTTTACATACTTAATTTTCTAGGTTGTGATATCTACTCTCTGTTTCCTACTGTTACCATTGATATATAAATGATCTCTTGTTATATATTGCAGTAGAATTAATTCTACTCCAATTTTCAGTTTCACTGTAATGATTCTTTTTCAAAAAAAGACTTATCTTTTAAACAATTGCCAATCTATGTAAATAAGTAAACTTTTTGATATCTGTTATTTTATTTATCCTATTGACTGTTCTATGTATGTAAATGTCTGTATAAATTATTTGAATGTCTTTTTAGCCGCGTACATTTCTTCTTATAAAATTAATCCAATCATCAACAGTTACATACAGTCTCCCTTTTACATAGAACATGTAACAAAAATATAAAGTTGAATGCATTTTTCCTTTTTTGTGGCACTTTTGTTTTTAGTCTTGCATTCCCAGCCGAGAACATTGTTTGTATCATCTTCCCTCTACTGAGTTAAAAAATTAAGTTATAGATCTTTATTGCATGGAAAGATTTGTCTACCCATGAGCAGCAATTTCTGCATCTGCACAGTCAATTGTGTCTTGACGGAAGCATTCAACTTCTGCTTGACTGTCAGCATGGACCAATCTCACTTTTGAAGGCTGAAAGATAAGATGGAAATTAATACTGCAGCTTGTCGGGAAGTCAGAGAAGAATGTGCTTTGTTAAATTTCTACCTTTGGATGCATAAGAACAAATGGGAGTTCTGCAGTGACTTCTCCACCAAGTGCCCCAAGGAATAGTTTCACCTTCACCGAGTACGAAACAACTATGCCAAAGGCGTCTTTTTGGTCTGGAGATGCCAACCTTGAGAGTACCAAAAAAAATATTTTTGAAAAGGTTATTTTAGCTGACTAAGGATAAATTGTCTCTCTAAAAGATGAGAATTTGACATACAGAGTAGATGAGGCCAGGTTGGTGTCCTCTCTCTTGAGCTGGCCGTCCAAGGCAATACCTCGCCGGTCCTTGTTGCAAGTGAGCGAGGGCGTGAGGTAGACCACCTTCTGTAGGGAGGAGCCTGGCTGGATGGGACACCCCTCCCTGCGGAGACATAGTCGAGTACAGAACAAACCAAACGAGCACTGCAGTAGTTCAGCTGGTCCAGCTCTAGTTGCCGACAAGCACTCACTGTGTCTCCATAGAGGCGATGGAGGAGCGGTACTGCCCGTTCTGGAAGAGCACCACGTCGACCCCCTGCTGTACCATGGCCTTGATCTTCTTCACCACCTTGTTGCTGTTGTTGCGGATGCAGACGTTGACGGCGATCTTCTCGCCGTGGTGGTACAGCTGCTTGTCCAGGGTCACCTCCAGCTCCAGCTCGCCGGGGCTCATCATGAAGTCCTTGCGCACGACGGTGCACGGCTGGCGGCCCTGCTTGGACGGCGCGTACTGCACCTTCCGGATGCCCATGGCCACGCTGCTCCTGGAGAACAAACGCGGACACGCCGTGAGCTCGCCGTCGAAGAGGCACGGGCCGGGGAAGTCCGCGGTAACCTACCTGCGGTGGCTGCGGTCCGTCTCGGTCTCCCCGACGAAGATCTTGACGTAGTACTGCACGCCGCAGGGCTCACCCTCGTCCTCGTGCCCGGGCTGCAAGGTGACGGACGCGGGGGCCGACGCGGGGACGTTGAAGGCGAAGGGCACGGCGTGGTCACCGAGCTTCTTGAGGAGCCGCTCCTGGGGGCAGGGAGGACGGAGGTGGCTTCATGGCGGGGCTGCCCTTCGTGAGGATGACGTCCAGGACGCGTGCATACTGTTCGGCCTTACCTGCAACCGAGTGCTGTTGCGGTCCACCTTCTCCGGCGGCGGGTAGATCTGCTCCGAGGCCAGGAACAGGTCCTTCTGGAAGTTGAGTCCCATGACCTCATCCTGCTCGCGGCCGTACCGGAAGGAGCACACCACCTGACCGAACACCTTGCGGCCCTGCAGGTACTCGGGGTCCACGGTGATGACGCCATCTGCACAAGGCACCACGTCGTCGTCGTCACCATCACAACCCACCACTCCTGCGACCCGGGGTACTTCAACACCAGTCAACACCCACCAATAGGCTCGACGCCCGTAATGTGGTCCACGAAGTCGCGCCTGCCGAGGTACAGGGTCACCTTCCCGTTCGGGGAGGCCTTCTTGAACACCTTGAAGTTGACCACCATGACGCCGGTCGGGGTTGGCTTTTGGTCGACAAGGGATGCGCCCGCTCACTGGCGCCGGCGCCGTGCCCGCCTTCCTTATATGCGCTTGGTCGCCCCCTCCTCGCGGAGGGTGCGCCCCGGGGGGTGGGGGTGAGTCCGCCCCCGTTGCTCCTGGCGGGCCCCCGTGGGGGGCGGACAGCGGGCGCCCACGTCGGGAGAGGCGAAACGTAACCGAGTAAATGCGCGGGACGGGGAGCCTGCGGGGCTTCCTGTAATCCAGTTTGTGTGGTTGACGCGCTGGTGCGGGCCCCTCCGGTGACCCCCCCCCCC